TTATGTATGTATATTTAAGTTTCCCATAAAATAGAAATTGAGTAAACAGCTTATCCTACGTGACAAGGTTCTGTTGCCAAGTTGGTTCTTAGTTTCTTAATTCTGTTCCCAATCTTTATTAGATTGTCACTACAGGTTTGGGTTGCAATGTAACCAGAATTCTGTGTATTAGGGTACTTCCAAGGATGCTGATCTGAAAGAGGGAAACAATGCAGAAAAGGTACATAACACCAGCAAGCATGTTTCAGGATCCACAGATCTTGCCAAGGACATTGGACATTCATCCGGTGAAGCAGAAACCTCTAATTTGCTCAGTAATCCCCTTGGCCTGGAATTGCGGACGAAAATTGAAACTGATAACGTGCCCTCTTCAGTGAATAAAGCCAAGAACCATTCTTTTAAGTTGGGTAAGTAGTTTGTTTCTGCAGTTAAACGTTTTCCTTAAATCAATTGTGATGACTTTCTTCTTCCCTGTTCTAACTACTGTCAGAAACTAATCGAACTAAAACTAAATCAACATATTCAGTTCAGATTTTGCATACTAGTATATATTCTAACATTCAAATATAAATATTGACTCATATTCGATTGGAGAAGCAAGTTTATGTGTTAGATATTATTCAAATATTTGTATTCATATATCAACTTGAACTTTTTCTTTTTATTTTTTTTTAAGCTGGAACATTAATTAGAATCTGAAATAACAGATTCCCTTAAAAATAGTATATATTTTAAAGGCCTAGAATGTTACATACAAATTATATAAAGCACATAAAATCTACTAGAGTGCAATTTTGTAACTTATAATTTACAAAATTTGACGTAATCATATACACATATTTTATAAAGTATTTTAGAATAGTAATTATACGATATATTATGAACCATATATTCGAACATTATCCAAATCAGATGTTAATATTGATATTCATATTTGTAAGCAGTTTAAAAATCTTCCAACTTTGAACCGTTATAATTGAACTGATAAAAAGAATTCAATTTGTTTACAATCCAAGTTCAACCTGTTTAAATTGCTCATTTGATATTGCAGGTGATAGAGTCAAATTCGTAGGTCCAACCTCTGGTGGTTTATGTTCTAGTTCTGCCAGGTGATTTTGATACTCTTCATGTTTCATTTTACAAGATTTGTATGTTGGAATTTTTTTTATACTAGATATATGCTACATAAATTTCTTTGCTTATAACTCTGTTGGGTTGAGATGTTGGTTGTGGTAATCTATGTTGGACTCTACTTAACTTCAGCAGCCACTCAATCCTTTATGCTTCTACAATTTCCTTTGTAACAACGATATGTTAGAATATCACTTGTGAGTTTCCCCACATTGATTTTATAGGGAAAATAAACCTAGTTTGCAAGCCTAGTGGACACTCCTCTCATTACCAATTAGTTTTTGGATGGAACCCCACTAAGGTGCACCTAGGCTCACACAAGAACTTGTGGTGTGCTTCACCTTTATGGGACCGGACCCGTTCCCCCTGAATCGATAAATCTAACACGATCCATGCCTAATCTTGCTGGCTGTTAGCCTTCGATTTTTCCAATCACCATCACTTCCTGCAATTGCAATCACAACCGACTCTCAATTTTGTGTTGGTGTGATACTCATTTATGTAAGCGGTTCATTTGGTTATGCATGAACATATATTGTGTCAAAATGTGTTTTCCTCTGATAGTTTTGGTTTTGATGTTGCTAGACATGAAGTAAAAAATTACAGAAATCTTTTATATTAAATTGAGACATCAAACAGGAAACCATCGGCTGGAATTTTAATTTGAATATTGTGTTTGTACCCTATTAGAAAAACTGGTTTGATGGTGGAATCAGCACATTTTGTTTTTGATGAATACTTTCTTTTTCAAATCATGTAATCTTGACTTTTCTATCAAGATGTACACGACCATATTTGTTATCTGTGATCTAGAATGTATAAGCAACTTCAGAGAAAGGGACTGCATGATGTGTCTTCTCTAATTTGGAAATTAAAATTAAGCGTGTGTGTTTGAATATCTTCAGATATTGAATTATTGTGGCGTGTTACCTACTTAACGGCTTTCTAGCTGGAACTTCAGGGGCCCAACTCCTGGAATGCGGGGAAAGGTTCTGTTGCCATTTGAAGATAATCCTCTTTCAAAGATTGGCGTAAAATTTGACAAATCCATGCAAGATGGGCTTGATTTTGGAGGTCTTTGTGACAATGGATATGGATTCTTCTGCAAGGGTGATATGCCGTTTCACTAAAAATTAATCCTTCTCACTTGATGCCATATAAGTTCTTTAGCATACCTCTTTCGCTCATCATTTTATCTTTGTATCTTTCTATAGCCAACGAGCTTCGCTTGGACACCTCAGGTGTGGAGGATCTGGACAAATTACTTATTAACACAATGTTTGAGGTGGAATTCCTGTAATAGCAAAACGAGTTTAAACTGATATGTGTCTCAATTCTGTCTGAAACTAATACTAATTTCACTCTGCATCACCAGACCGTGTTTGACGTGAGCCAAGAGTCCCCGTTCATTTTGTTTATGAAAGATGCTGAAAATTCTATGGCAGGAAATTCTGAGTCATATGCTTTATTTATGATCAAGCTGGAGAAGCTTCCTAATAACGTTGTAATTATTGGTTCACATACTCAAATTGACAACCGCAAAGAAAAGGTACAAGTCATAGATGATATCTGTGATATATTCCCATCACTTTGAAGAATTTAATATGTTTCTTGATTGAGTCAATTGCTGTGCCACTCTACTGGCTTTAAATCTTAAAATGAAAAGGCAATCAAGACGATGTAAGAATTTTCTCATTAACTGATTGTTTTCTCATGCAGTCTCATACTGGTGGTTTGCTTTTCACGAAATTTGGCAGCAATCAGACTGCTTTGCTTGACTTGGCTTTTCCTGTAAGAATCAGTAGATTTGCATTTCTGGCAGTATTGTAACATTATTGGTTATACATATTTGAAGCGAACTTTTGAGTCATGAAATCTATTGGGTGGCATGGCATGGCGTAGATTGGCACTTTTTTACAAAATCCTTTAATTCAACATATTGGAAAGTTATTCTCAAATGCAAGAGAACTCTTTAGAGCCAACCAACATTGTAGGAAATGACTTGACTGAAATCCAACCTCATCAAGCTGCAGTATTTGTATTTCAGTACTATCCATCTTCATGCAGTCTTACTGTTGTGAACTTCCCATCCATCCTCAAGTGAAGCTCAACTTGGGGGCTGGTGTTCACTTCTCATTTCAAATATTGTAGTGATAAGTGGCTTGGCTAACACTATATGTTCAAAAGATACGTGCTCACTCAATCGCCTCATGCTATCATCTTTCACTCTTCCAAAAGATATCTATACTTTTGGCCCTTTAAAAGTACGTATGGCAAACCAGTGCTACCCGAATGGATATTTCCCAAAAGGTCCCATCATCATGCCCAAACATACTTATTCATATTGTAGTATCTAGAAAGAACGTAAAAGTACATCCACATAAATTTCTTTGGGAAAAAACTATGATATTCTTTTTCTGAAGCTGACTTTGTTTTACCCCCCAATTAAAAGTTAAAACAACGGTTGTGAAACAAGAATCTAGGATCTCTTAGTTGGACTGAAACAGATTGCTTCACCTAGAAATCTAAACCCTGTCTTGTAGTGGATGCACAACATATCTCCAATGTGCTCCAATTTTTATTTGGGGTATTTCCGGTTCAAACTTCTCAGTGCACAAATTTTATTGAACATAGCTTTCTATGAAAAGGAACTCCGTTTTTCTTGTCAAACAAACTGCTACTTTGTTTCTATTCAACCGCCCAGTGGATAAGAACTTTCTATCCCTTGGCCGAAGAGCCTTGTGAAATTATTCAATGAGACACCACTTTCAGTTCTTCACTTAGTTTCTGCCACAGTTGTTTGCCTTCTGCCTTTTTCTACCGTGTTGCAAATAATAATCTGATTTAATTCCTTACCTGACTAGTTTTAGTGCTAATATAATTTATTATTGATTCTCAGGATAGTTTTGGGAGGTTGCATGATAGGGCTAAGGATATTACCAAGGGAAGCAAGCTTTTATCCAAACTTTTCCCAAATAAAGTGACAATTCACATGCCTCAGGTTCGTTCTTGATTTTTCATCCTAGATTGGTTTGCATTAATCAACTGTGATATGATGCTTATAAACACATTGCAGGACGAAGCACTCCTAGTCAGTTGGAAGCAGCAATTGGAACGAGATGCTGAAACTCTAAAACTAAAAGCAAATCTGAATAATTTACGGACTGTGAGATTCCTTTCTTCGTAAAAATTTGTATTGTTTATTCCTTTGGCATCCTCGTAGGGTTATAGTATATATGATATCACTGGTAGTAAGCAATTATACTTGAGAGGAATCATCTTAGGATTAATAATAATATGATTTATTTATCAATTTGGTAGTGCAGAGCTGAGTTAATAATATGATTATTAATATGATTTATTCTTTCTTGATATTGGTGTAATGCTATACAATTTATTTTTCCACTTGACAAGTTCAAATGTTCATGTAACTTTGCTTATGGCATCTAGTGTCCAGCCTGAGTGCATACATCCAGTATCCAACACTCATTATTATCCAGATAATTTTATTGAATAGAAATTTTTGCTGCAGATTTTTTTTTTTTTTTTTTTACTAGCCTGAGTAATTCCTTCTTAAATTGTATACCTTTAAACTGTGAGGAACCCGATAATTAGGGGTGCTACCAGCACTGCTTTCGACATATTGCCCCATTTTTTGCATACAGGTCCTCAATCGTAATGGGTTGGAGTGTGATGGACTTGAAACATTGAACATAAAAGACCAGACACTTACAAATGAGAGTAAGCTTTATCCTTGCTTTCTTCTCTAATGAGATAGAAAATGATCATCTTTGAACTGCCCCCTTTATGGGAATAACTATATAATTTTCTCCCTTGCGCTTATCTTCCCATATTGAGGGAACTTTGTGGGCATAAGTTGAACATGTACTTATTATATTATTTTAAAGGTGCGGAAAAGGTGGTTGGATGGGCTTTAAGCCATCATTTGCTGACAAATCCCGAGGCTGATGCAGATACCAGGCTTGTTTTGTCTTCGGAGAGGTAATAACCGTTTGCCACTTTTTTGCTGGATGGCTCATTATAACATTCTTACCGCAATTTCTTCCTGCATCAGCATTCAGTATGGAATTGGTATTCTACATGCCATCCAGAATGACTCCAAGGCTTCAAAGAAGTCCCTCAAGGTGATACTTAAATGCTTCACATGAGTATCAGATATTCAGTGAAGCAATCGTTAGTGGTTGGTTACGGAACAGCTATATATCTGAAGTAGTATTTACATTTTGTGGCTTGCCCAGGATGTTGTGACAGAGAACGAATTTGAGAAGAGGCTTCTAGCTGATGTGATCCCTCCCAATGATATTGGTGTGACATTTGATGATATAGGAGCACTTGAGAATGTCAAAGATACCTTGAAGGAGTTGGTGATGCTTCCTTTACAGCGGCCAGAACTTTTCTGCAAGGGTCAACTGACAAAGGTTAACATTTCATTTATTTTTTTAGGTTTATATTTTTTATTTCTTACGATGGTAAAATTTCCTTTATCATTAAAGAAGTTTGCACCAATTCATCCATCCTTAAAAAAAAAAAAGAATTACATATCCTGGGAATTATGTAAGATGGTATCATTTTCTTTCCTTGTGGCCATTCTTTATGAGGCCATGTCTGGCAATGGTTCCCCTGCCTTATCAGTGTTCTAGATCATTTGATTTTGAAGAGTCAGGGACATGATCTTGTTCCTTCTTATCCTAAACGAATTATTGACGGGCTATTCTGGCTGCCTGATCATGTGCTAATGCTTTTGAACTTTGCACGTGGTTTCATTCATAACGTTATGTCTATATAAATGCTTGAATTGTATATCCTATTTTTGAACTTTTGCACCATGCTTTAAAATTCTGATGTTTGATCTCCTCCAAGATTGGATAACTGAGCCATATTTTGATAGCGGCAATGTGACATGTTAATATCTTAGTTCTTTTGTTTCTCTGCAGCCTTGCAAAGGTATATTGCTATTTGGCCCCCCTGGAACAGGAAAGACCATGCTTGCAAAGGCAGTTGCAACTGAAGCTGGTGCAAACTTCATTAACATTTCGATGTCTAGCATAACCTCGAAGGTGTCCTCTTTTCTTTTTATATAAATTCTTTTTACAAGTGTGATGTTTTTTATTGTTAGATTGTCTGACACCTGTCTCTCTATTCTCTACACTTTCAGTGGTTTGGTGAGGGTGAGAAATATGTCAAGGCTGTTTTCTCTCTGGCTAGCAAGATTGCTCCTAGCGTTATATTCGTTGATGAAGTAAGTCGATCATGTCCCACCATATTTCCTTCTTTTTATATCTTGAGTACCAGTCATCATCATACCATGCATCTTTTTTCTCCCTTCAAAAGGTCGATAGCATGCTGGGACGAAGGGAAAACCCTGGAGAACATGAGGCCATGCGTAAAATGAAAAATGAATTCATGGTGAACTGGGATGGACTGCGTACAAAAGACAAAGAACGTGTCCTGGTACTTGCTGCCACCAACAGGCCTTTCGACCTTGATGAGGCCGTGATTAGGAGGCTGCCACGCAGGTAAATGAAAGAAAGAAAAGAAAAGAAAAGAAAAGAAAGGCAAACCCATTTTCAAGAGTCCAAAAATTGTTGAGGATTAATGGTGCTTGTATTTTTTTTTTTATTTTTTTTTATTTATTTTTTTTCTATTTAGGTTGATGGTTAACTTGCCGGACGCTGCTAATAGAGCCAAGATCCTTAGAGTGATTCTGGCCAAAGAGGACCTCTCGCCTGATGTGGACCTGGATTCAGTTGCGAGTATGACCGATGGTTATTCAGGAAGTGATCTTAAGGTTTGGACTTGCAGGCTTTCTTGTTCTGAATATGATTCTTTTCGGACGTGGGATGTTCATAGTAAATATTTCTATTCTTCTCTTTCAGAATTTATGTGTGACTGCTGCTCATCGTCCCATAAGAGAGATTCTGGAAAAGGAGAAAAAGGTATTTTTCCCACCTTAGTTTTGAGTTGTCGCTCTTGATCAGTCTTTAAGGAGTCTAAATCTAGTAGTGATTGTTTATAAATAAATTGATAAATTGAACTGACTGTCATATATGCTGGGTTTTCAAAGCGAAATTTGAACATCACGAATTTTTGTTGTGTTTAAGCCTATCAAGTTACTGTATGATTTAATTATGCATGGGAGTAGGCAAGGTGTACTGCAATCATTATAACTTCTTTCCATTTCTTTTTTTTTGAGATAATATTTATCTTATTTTCTTATTCCTTTAGTGCTATATATGTGCAAACTAAGAAACCATCTTAAGATAACCTTTTTTTTGTCATTTGAGAAAATTATGGTCTACATACTTGTTACATGATTCATTATAATTTGTATGTTGCCCCTATCCTT